CTCTAGTCTGGGCGACAGAGTGAGACTCCAACTAAAAAAAAAAAAAAAAAAACTGTTATGTTTGTGTGGAACCCTATCTCAGAAGTTTGTGAAGTCCATTACACTAGGGATTGATTGTCTTTGGGTCCTATGTCTTATAGGTCCTTGACTGGCACCGACTGATCTCCCTCACCTGGGCCTGTATGGCCAGGCAAACTACTTCTCTTGGAGAACAGAAAAGGATGACTGCTTCTTTGTTGCGTAAACTGACTACAGCTTCCAATAGAGGGAGCCTTGAGGAGTTATCCTATGTTGGATCCAATAAATATGTGCAGGAACCAGAGTGCAGGATGAATCTTGTTCAGTGCCTCCGTGAGAAGCAGAGATCCACTCCTATGGATCAAGAGGCCTTGGAGCTAGAAAATATCATCAGTTCCCTCCTGGATATGGGTTTCAGTGATGCTCATATTAATGAATTGCTCAGTGTACAACCAGGTGCTAACCTTCAACAGATGGTGGACATCATTTCAGAATTTATACTCTTGGGTCTGAATCCAGAGCCTGTGTATGTGGCCTTGAAGAAAAATCCCCAGTTATTGAAAATGTCTGTAATGCAAATGAAGAAGCGCTCCCGTTATCTGCGAAAGCTTGGGCTTGAAGAAGGTACAAGAAGATGCAGATTTTATGTAGTGTGAAAGGAGCTAGAGTTGGGGGAAAGCCTAAGGTGAGGTGGATTAGGGAAAGTTTCTGAAGAAAAGTTAGTGTTCCGAGAGAGGAATGTGTGATTTGACTTGGAGGTGAGGAAGAAGAATTTGTAGAATATATTGTGGGCGGGAAGTGAGAAGAGTTAAGACTGGAAGAGAGAATTGTGTGCCAGGACTGAGATTCTTGTCTGGTTTGTTCACAGGGAGGGTCTCTAGGTCTCTGGTACCTAGAACAGTGGGCACATGGTATGTGTGCTCAGTAGATTGATGTTGATATGTGATGTTAGTAAATATGCATATATGTAACCTTTGATGTTTAAATCACCTTGATGTTGTCTTAGTACTTTTTCTCTGTATGATGTTAAAACCAACAATATCATCCCTTGTAAAGATTTAGATTCTAGCTAAGTGTTTTGATTTACTGTGGAACCTGAGATCTTGCCAGGTTCCTGAGAAACTGGTGGAGTGACCTCCTACCCCTCAACTATGTTCATACTGCAAGGATCCTTGAAATGTGAAATTCTTTGCTTTCTTTCTTTCTTTTTTTTTTTTTTTGAGCCAGGGTCTCGCTCTGTCATCCAGGCTGGAGTGCAGTGGCACAGTCATGGCCACTGCAGCCTCGACCTGCTGGGCTCAGGTGATCCTTTCACCTCAGCCTTCCAAGTAGGTGGAACCACAGGCATGTGCCACCACGCCCAGCTAATTTTTTTGATTTATTATAGAGACGAGGTCTCGCCAAATTGTCCACACTAGTCTCGAACCCTGTGGGCTCAGGTAGTCCTCTTGCTTCTGCCTCTCAAGGTGCTGGGATTACAGGCATAAGCCACTGTTCCCAGCCCCTTAGCTTTCTATAGGGGCCTTCTAGAGGAGAGTGTTGGGAGGCCATGATGGTTTCCAAGAACTCCTACCCTGAGGAGTTCCACCGTTATTCATTTTCATTATTGACTCTTCCTAGTAACTTTATTTTTTGTGGTCGGAGGAAAGGCTTAGGACCCACTATTTCACAGGATGTCCATAAGCCTCCTCTAGAAGATAAGCAAAAAATAGTCTTGTATATTTCTCCTAACAGATTACTGCTTACAGTGCAATCTAAAAGGCTAAACTTAATATGTTATGTGTCATGATTATTAATCAGCAAACTTAGCACAGACTTCAGAGATGAAGATAAAGCCTAAATTTCTGAAATGACTTCTCACACATTAAGACAATGAGTAATTTGGATGTTAGGGTAATTTTAATCAACAGTTCAAGCAGTTTTAAGTTTCTAATTACTAAATTTTGTTCAGCTATTCCTAGGAGGACCACATACCTCAGTGTGCCTGGAATCATTTCAGTTTATACCTGTTAAAAGAGTTATTAATAGGGCCTCTTGGCTGGGCACAGTGGCTCAAGCCTGTAATCCCAGCATTTTGGGAGGCTGAGGTGAGAGGATTGCATGAGCCCATGGGTTCGAAAACAGCCAGGGCAACTTGGTGAGACCTCATCTCTACAATAAATCAAAAAATTAGCTGGGCGTGGTAGTGTGCACCTGTAGTTCTGGCTACTTGGAAGGGTGAGGCAGAAGGATCACCTGAGTCCAGCAGATTGACACTGGGGTGGCCGTGAGCATGCTACTGCACTCCAGCCTAGACAACGAAGTAAGCCTCCAACTAAAAAACAAAACAAAACAAAAAGCAGGCACTGGTTCGAGACCAGCATGGGCAATTTGGCAAGACCTCGTCTCTACAATATTACCACTATTATTATTATTATTACTATTATTACTTTTGAGTCGGAGTTTCACTCTGTCGACCAGGCTGGAGTGCAGTGGTATGCTCACAGCCACCGCAGCCTTGACCTGCTGGGCTCAGGCGATCCTTCCACCTAAGCCTTCCAAGTAGCTGGAACTACAGGCACATGCCACCATTCTCAGCTAATTTTTTGATTTATTGTAGAGACGATGTCTCACCAAGTTGCCCAGGCTGGTCTCGAACCCCTGGACTCAGGCAATCCTCTTGCTTTAGCTTCCCAAAGTGCTGGGATTACAGGCTTTAGCCACTGTGCCTGGCCGTTATTACCATTATTATTACGGAATTCCTTTTCATTGAGTTCAGACTGTCAGGTCTTGAGAATGTTGGCTGTGAATATTTCAATAACTTACAGAGGGAAACATCAACCCAAAGCCCCAACATGGGGGAAGCTACTCTCCCATATTACTGTCTGATCTTCCCAGTAAATGCTTGGGAAATTATTTTCTAGTTGAGGGCAAGAGGAGACCTAGAATACAATGTTGGTACCTTCTAGATGGGAAGCCAGAAAAAAAGCAGGAATAGGGAGCGAAGGCTTGTGAGTCTGAAAAGTGTTGGGGAGTCAGTGGGGGAGATGTATCACTTCCATGGCAATGAAATTGACACTTGCTCTATGGAAGGAGAGGATCCTTGTTTGTTTTCTAACTGTAGGCTTGGCTTAAATAGAGTGCTGCTAGCCCCTGGGATTTCTGAAGTATCCTGAGATTATGTGCTTGTCTTTTTTGAATGTTCTGCAGGGAAACTGAAGAGGGTGTTTCAGTGCTGCCCTGAAATTTTCACTATGCATCAACAGAACATTGAGGACATTGTCAGGGTCCTCAAGGAGAAGTGCCTTTTCACGGTACAGCAAGTCACGGAGATTTTGCACAGATGCCCCTCTGTTCTTCATGAGAATCCAGATGAATTGGAATACAAATTCCAGGTGAGAATGACTAATAGAGTGATTAGGGTAGTAATGGCAAGTTTTTCAAATGTGGTAAGGGTTAATTATAGACATAAGAAGCCTCAGATATCTCACATTTGAGTGGATGAGGTGAAAGGCTTAGGTTTTAGAATTTCTTTGCACACACCAGCCAAAGAGAATTCGGTTTTGGTTCTTTTACTTCTTCACTATAGATCAAATCTATTCTGCAATTTTTCTGTTATTAATAATGAATAACCCAGTCCTATTCTTAGAGTTCCATTAGGTTACACTATTTGAAATAGCTAATTTTAAAATAACTAAAGTCTTCCTATCTTTAAAATCTATTTTGTATATTGATTTTGAAAATGTAATTGTGAGAGTGGTTCTAATTTTTTAGTAACAATTATGACAACCTAGGTCAAATTTCTAGATGTTTTCTGAATTTTTTGCCTATTATTTCTGTACTCATAGTTTTTCTTCCCTCTGTCTAAAGAAACATATAATTTCTCCCTCCAGCCCCTTTATTTCCTGCTACAGTTTTCTCAATATGAATTTGAAAATGCTTTGAAAATTGATAACTATCCTACAAATGTTAGTATCATAGGGTGGTTATTCTGCCATTGTTGATTAGGGCAATTCCTTTTGAATGATTTTGGACAATTAAGTTTATTATGGATTGAGGAATGATAAGTTGCAAGATTCTGTACCTGGGATTTCTAAACATGTTTGTGTCTTTCAGTATGCATATTTTAGGATGGGAATTAAGCATCCAGACATGGTAAGGAGTGAGTTCTTGAAGTACTCATTAACCAAGATTAAGCAGAGACACATTTACCTGGAGCGCCTAGGACGGTACCAAACCCCTGATAAGAAGGGGCAGACACAGATCCCTAACCCATTACTCAAGGACATCCTCAGAATTTCAGAAGCTGAGTTCTTGGCCAGGACAGCCTGTTCTTCTGTTGAGGAGTTTGAGGTTTTTAAGAAGCTCTTGGCTCGGGAAGAGGAAGAAGAGTCTGAGAGTGGCATGTCTGATGATGAAAGGACAGATCTGGATGAGGACCAGGAGGAGGCTGAGGAGGAAGAGCAGCTGTGATGGAAGGACTGGCATGAAAGGGCCCAGAGATATCAAGGAACATTTTCATTCTCTTAAAACTTTGGTGACCTTCATGTGAATTTTCTCAAGTTATTTTTTATTCTTTTTTTTGAGGTGGAGTCTCACTCCGTTGCCTAGGCTGGAGTGCAGTGGCAGGCTCATGGCCACCCCAATGTTGACCTGCTGGGCTCAGGTGATCCTTCCGCCTCAGCCTTCCAAGTAACTGGAACTACAGGTGTGCACTAACACACCCAGCTAATTTTTTTATTTGTTGTAGAGATGAGGTCTCACCAAGTTGCCCAGGCTGTTCTCGATCCCACAGGCTCAGGCAATCCCTTCACCTCAGCCTCCCAAAGTGCTGAGATTACAGACTTGAGCCTGGCCTATTTTTTTTAAATTCTAAAACTGGTCTTTTGATTTTAAAAGTATTATTATAAATCATCTGAGAAGCAGGCAGATCAAACCAAATAGGAAATGCATTAATTTGATCCGTGTTGGGTATCTTTGGGAAAGACCCTGTTCTGTCCTAAATAAAATACTTTGAACTATTAAAATCAAGGAGATTCAATACATGAAAATTTGTTTTGTTTTTTTTTAAATATGTTGGTGATAACTTCATGACAATGTGCAGGATGAAGTTCCTTCTTGTTCAGAAACAACTTTATATTTCCTTCTAGTGATAAAAATAAAATTATTAGAAGACTGTGAGGTTTTAGTACATCATGGCACTTTATTTTATAAAAACAAGTAGCAGGTTTTCCACAAAAATACTTGTGTTTTTAATCCAGAAGTATCTTGTTGTTTCATAATTGGATTTGGTGTATAGCAGAGTAAAAGGAAGTTCATCAGTGATGTATGGTTTAATTTTGCACAGCTTCTTAAGGCCAGCAAAACATTGGGGCAGTTTTCACTCTTTGTGAAGAACAGGCCCTTCCTGTTTGGGGGAGTTGGCTTTTCTGTCAGCTCCTGACCAGTGCTCACTTCTAGGCCTAATGTCTCTTGCCCTGTGGTCTGTAGTATCAGAGTGTGCTGGCCTGGAGTGGGCTGGGGAGCGATCCTGTAGGGTTGTCTCTCCTGCTCTGGTTACAGATGGGCTTTGAGAATCAGAGCACAGGGTCATGGAGAGGCTGAACTAGAGCCAGGGTCACAGGGAGCTCTCCATGATGCCCAAGGTGGTGGATGCCACCTTAGGAAACCCAGTGAGTATGAGGAGTGATTTGAAGTGTTGGGAATAAGATATAGGAATTTGCTGTAAGCTGGGTTGATCTCTGAGGTAGAGGCTCGGATGGCATGAATTCTAAGAGGGTTCTAGTGGATTGGTGCATCCTAGAATGTTCTAGGTAGCCCTTTCTCAGGGGGAGCTAACATAGGATTGATGCAGAAAGCATTTTTGGAGATGGGACCAAAATTCAGATCTCCTTGGTAGCATTCTAGGATCTAGTGAGTAGAGGTGAGGGAAGCTGTAAAACAACCTACAGTGCACAGGATTGGCTCACACAAGAGAAAATTAACCAGCCCAGAATGTTAGCGTTGAGAAACTGACCTCAGACCTGGCCCAGTAAAATAATGTGACTGTCTATTCTTGACAAGTTCAGATTGTAAATGACTTACAATAATTGTATGAAAAATAAATATCTGATTTTTCAGTAGGGCTTCTTTTCCTCTTCATTAGAATTCCCTTGGTAGATCTAAGTTATATTTTATTGTGGGGATTCGGCACTGAAGTGTAGATGACTTTGCTTTCTCTAGCAGGCTCACAATAGAGTGTGACTACAAAGAAAAAGACTTTTTTTTTTTGCAAAAGAAAAGCAATAGCCCAGTGACTCCTTCCACTTCAGACACTGGTAGCAGTGGTTTGCCAGTAGGAGGAGTTCCCGCCAAGGGAAGGTGCAGGTGAGCTGATATCCTGGTGGGGCCCTTGCCTACTGGGCTCTCTAGGGGAGAGCAGCAGATGAAGCAAAGAATTCCTCCTTTGCACCTGGCAGCCCACATGCAATGGGGGAAAGGGAGAATTTGTTTTTACTGTCTTGGCCATTTCACTCTGTGCCAGTGTTAATTTACTCTTCTATTTTCTGGCATCATGACTGCCACCTTCCCTGGATCCTAAGATGTTGATCTTGTGCCCAGTCAGAGGACTAAGTAGAATCCTAAATCTGTGCTTGATTAGATGGTCAGTCCCTCTACATTTTGGTTAACAAATGAGTAACTCAACAACTCATGATTACTGCTTTCATTTTGACACAGAAATAAATCTTTAAGCCTCTGACAATTTTCTGATTCCATTATTACCAATTTCCCTGGGTGAACTTGGGAGTATTTTCAAGGAAGACATTAGAGTTTTTCAAAGGGGCCATGTGAGAACAGCTGTGGTGGTTCCTTTGGAGTGTTTCAAGAATACACTGTAATCCTTAGCACTAGGAAGTTTTTTACTAGATATTTAATCTGTAAAACATCAAAATGGGTTAATTGTATGACAGCACAACACCAAGCTTAGGCTTCAGTAGACCATTCCTTGTTGACACAAAGGATTCTAAGCTAACACCTGGAACACGTTAGCATTTGCCACATGGCTGAGGGGCTTGAAGTCCTAGTAGGAAGTAGAAGGTTTCATAGTAGAAAGTTTCACCTACTTTTCCAGTGATATCACTTGATTCACCATCTGCTAGTATGCTGTAGCTTACATGGGTGAACAGTAATGGGTCCCAGTGCTGCGGGAAGTCAGCAGTATGTGTCTGTGTACGTGGTTTTCTCTCAGGTCACCCAGTGTTCAAGACCCTTCACTGAGCTCCACCTTCTGCTCTCAGAGGGCTCTCTGGAGACTGGGGAGTGTTTCTGGAGTACAGTTGAGACTTCTTGAAATGACTGATCCTCCTTTCTGAAAATGACAAATTGCATAATACACAGACATATGCACACAACATTTTAATAAAAATTAAAAGCCTAAAAATACTCTAACTCTTCAAAAAACATTTTTATAAAAGATGAAAGGAAGGAAGCCCTCTTTGTGGTTGGAATGTTCACTCTGGGCAAAGTCAGAGGGAGGCACAGCAGGGCGCTTGTTTTCCAGTTAGGTCAGCTATTGTAAGACAACAGGAGGAGGTGGGATTGGCTTCTTTGGTTGTAACATTTGCAGGGAGAAGATGGAACTGCTTAGGAGTGTGCTAGAAAGTAGATGTTGTAAGGTGATACAGTATTTTGCTTATGAAGATGGGGATGTCTAACATTGTGTTTACTACCTGATACCCTAAAACAGTATTCCTTGTGTCAGACTAAGAAGAACCTTAAACATTATCTGGTCCACCCCAAGGGTCCGTTGCCATTGCATTGAGACTTGTAAGTGGCCCTTGTTGCTTCATGACTGTGTGCCTTGGCCTTCCAAGTAGGGGTGTGGATGGCTTTTTTTCCAAGAATATTCAAGGGTCTCTGGTTACTTGTCATCCAGGAGATAGCTTCCTCTGCATGAGGCCGAAGCCCAGGTGGTCTCAGACCAGGGGTTTGCCAACTATGGCCCACCTGTTTTTGTAAATACATTTTTATTGGAACATAACCTTACTCACTTGATTATATACCTGCACTATACAGCAAAGCTGAGTAGTTGCCACAAGGATCTCAGTTCTGCAAAGCCAAAAATACTGTCTGACTCTTTACAGAGAAGGTCTACCACCCCTGCTGTAGACTAAAAGTGTCTAAACTCCACATTAATTAACATTTCCTCTTTCAAAGTGTACTAGTCCATGTGATGGATGTTAGCCTGCAGAGCGAACAGCATAGTCTAGAGGAGCAGAGCAGAGCGAGGCAGTGCCTGGAAGTTGGCTTTTCTTTCAGTATCACTTCATCTCTGCTCCCTGACTCCGTTTTGGAAGCAGTCTGTCTGTAGCAGTTCCTTCTCAATTTGTTAGGTTTCAAAGGGGGAGTTTTTTCTCAGGCATTGGAATCTGAGAATGGGTTTCTGAATACTGCAGAAGTGTGACTGACTGACAGCCTTGCTGACCTCGGGTAATGGTGGGCTGTCATCTTTCATCCACAGAAGCACAGATCGTGCCTTTAGAAGCCACAACCTGAGTTAGATTACAGGCTGCTTAATGCATCACAGGACTCATGGTGACTGGTCCCAGAAGAATCTCCCAGGGTGGGCTGGTGCATGCACAGGCCTGGCCGACTGTCTTCCAGAGGCCCAAGGAGAGAGGTCACAGAGGGGACTCCAGCCAGGACCTTGTCTCTCAGGGTGTCCTTTTCAATCCAATTTTTAGATCTCATCTTCCTGGGTTTTAGAAACTCTTGAGGTTGGTGAAGTGTAACAAGAATGTCCTAAATCCTTTGAAGAAAAAACAAAGCAAGGCATAAGGAGAATGATAGTCATACTCACTCCTCTTTAAACCAGCTGCTTCCTGTTTCTCTTAGTGGTCCTCAGGGGTCTCTTCCCCAAGAGGACCTGACGTTCTTACAACATCAGGATTCTAACATGGCAATGGATGTGGGGATGGCAGGCTTGTTGAGGAAGGCTAACTACCTCCCCCATCTTTAAGAACATTTGGGCTTAGCATTGCAACTTTTAAATGTGAAATCCACAGACTGCTCCTCTTCCCTGCCCTCCTCCATTCATGATGACCCTGGATCTTTTCTCTGAGGACATGGGCTGTGTCTAATTGCTCTGGATGGAAACAAATTCTCATGTTGTTCTTGGGTGAGTGTCTGGGTGGGTATGTTTCTGTTTCCTGTTTTGTGTTTTCTCTATTGTTTCAAGAATAGATGTTCTATAAGCCGATATTTGATGATTTTTTTATAGAAGTGGATTTGCTGAGCAAGTTTTTAAAAGATATGTTAATAGTTCAGGTGACTGACTGCTGCATAATTATTTCAAACTCAAATTATGTTTATGAATTCTTAATCCTAGTATCGTCATGTACTGCATAGCAATGTTTTGGTCAACAATGGACCACATATATGATAGTAGTCCACGATGGACATGAAAAATTCCTATTGCCTTGTGACACTGTAGCTGCTGTAACAGAATTACTCATATGATTGTGGTAATGCTGGTGCAAACAGACTTACTACACTGCCAGTCATATAAAAGTATAAAATACAATTATATAAGTATATAATACTCGATAATGATAATATACAACTATGTTACAGGTTTACATATTTATTATGTTGTACTTTTTATTGTCATTTTAGAGTGTACTCCTCATACTTATAAAAAACAGTTAACTATAAAACAGCCTCAGGCTGGTCCTTCAGGTATTACAGAAGAAGGCATTGTTATCATGAGAGATAACTGCTCCATGTGTGTTATTTCACTTGAAAACCTTCTAGTGGGACAAGATGTGGAGTGGAAGACAGTGATATTGATAACCTGACTCTGTGTATGCCTAGGCTAATGTGTGTGCTTGCGTCTGAGTTTTTAACAAAAAAGTTTAAAAAGTAAACAAAAAAAAATTTAAATAGCACAACGTATATAGAATAAGGATATAGGGCAAGGACATATTTTTGTACAGCTGTAGAATGTGTTTGTATCTTAAGATAAGTGCTATTACAAAAGAGTCAAAAGTTGTTTTTTGTTTTCTTGTTTTTTGAGTCAAAGTCTCTCTGTCAACCAAGCTGGAGTGCAGTGGCACGATCACAGCTCACCGTAGCCTCGACCTGCTGGGAGCAGGTGATCCTTCCACCTCAACCTTCCGAGTAGCTGGAGCTACAAGTGTGTGCCATCACACACAGCTAATTTTTTGATTTATCGCGGTCTTGCCAAGTTGCCCAGGCTGGTCTTGAACCCCTGGGCTCAGGCAATTCTCTCACCTCTGCCTCCCAAAGTGCTGTGATTACTGTTGTGAGCCACTGTGCCCAACCAAAAAGTTTTACAAAATTAAAAAGTTTATAAACTTAAAAAGTTACAGCAAGCTAAGATTAATTATTGCAGAAATAATTTTTTAAAAGATTAATTTTAAAGATAGATTTAGTATAGTCTAGCTATCCAGTGTTTATGTGGTATACAGTGATGTCCTAGGCCTTCACATTCACTCACCACTCGCTGACTCACCCTGAGCAACTTCCAGTTCTGCAAGCTCCATTCTTAGTAAGTGCCCTAGACAAGCATACCATTTAAAAAACCTTTTATACCATATTTTGACTGTACCTTTTCTGTGTTTAGATATGTTTGGATACACAAGTACTTACCATTGTGTTATAATTGCTAACAGTACTCAGCACAGTAACATGCTATATAGGTTTATAGCTTAGGAGCAATTGACCATACCATATAGCCTAGGTGTGTAGTGGACTATACTATCTAGGTTTGTATCGTCAGTACAATCTATGATATTTGCACAACGATGAAATCACCTAATGACACATTTCTCCAAACTTGTCCCCATTTTAAGCAATGCATGACTGTAGTAAATTGCTTGCAAACCTTGGAGTGTGCATTTTGTGTGTGTGTCTTTGGAGGGTGAGATGGGAGGGGAAAGTGATGCCTTTGAATCAACAGAAACTGAATACTTTCAGTTGCTCTCTTTTATGGAGAGGTTTCTCACATTTGAAACAGAGCAGATGCACACGCTCTCATATGGCCAACTCTGAGAGCTCAAGTTCCTGACACCATGGAGCTCTAGCCTTGGCCTTTCCTTCCCTGGTTGGTGTGGACATTGTTCCTTTAGTGTGAGCTTAGATCTGAAAAGATCCTTTTTGTTTTGTTTTGTTTTTGAGTTGGAGTCTCACTCTGTCGCCCAGGTTTGAGTGCAGTGGCATGCTCACGGCCACCGCAGCTTCGACCTGCGCGGCTCAGGTAATCCTTCCGCGTCAGCCTTCCAAGTAGCTGTAACTACAGGCATGTGATCCTTTGGTTTTAAAGGTCTATGTATGACATTTCTCCTTTGTTTTCTTAGTCATATAAGAACATATAGACCTGTTTTTGAGTAGCTTGTTACCTGAGGGTGCCTCACTGTCATCTCCTGCAATACCAGGAAGATAGACCATTCAGGCTCCTTTGAGGAGCAGGAATAGTACACAGAACTAAGCCAGCCAGAAATTCATCTTTCATTGTTAGTTGCATGTTGATAGGAAATTTCATTTGGTGTGAAACTGACTACAGGCTATAGATGCATTTCTATTTTATGACCCAATATTTTCTAAACTACTGTGAAGAATACCGGTGTTATTTGAGATTTAGCAGTTTATGTGTGAGAAAGTGGGAGTAGGGTTGGGGGTTCAGTTGCCAAAAGAGTTTGGGAAATGCTGGATTAAACAGAAATAGAATTATAAAGTTTCTTTCATTTCAGGATTTATGAATGCTTAGGAGTCTAGTGTCCATTGTGAATCTCCTAGTAAGAGAAAGCCTTTAGGAGTTTCTAAATGTCATGTGATCAAGGTCCCTGCTCCATTGAGTCTGGGAGGGATTCTCTTGGATCCCTTCTGGCATCCCCAGAATTCCTCAGCATCCCAAGCTCTCCCACTGCCTGTGGCCCCACCTCCCTCCAGATGCCAGTTGGTCTTCCAGCCTCTTTTAGTGCTCACCTTCCTTCCCCTTTCTCTCACTGCAGCTGATCAGGGGTTTCTTGGCTGCATTTCCCTTGAGATTAGGATTTGCCCCCGCCCCCAGGGAACTTCATTTCTACAATGAAGATGTATTTGTCAGTGCTAGACCAGGTTTATGACTATCCCCCTTGGGGAACTGTGAAACATTTCTGGCCTAGGAATTTGTAACACAGCAGCACATGACTGAACTTTCTTTAGCAGCGCCTAATGAGGAGGCAGCAGTGCTCTGAGAGCTCAGGGCTGGGTGGTTGCCTTTCCTGCTTCCCAGCAGCTCTGTGATTGGTAGTCGGGGAGTGGAAGGGACGTACCTTAAGATTTCTCCAGTGTTTGACTCTTACTTTGTTTCCTGAAATAATTAGAGAAAAGTGGCTTAATGAAAAAGAGACTTGTGTACTTTGAATCCTACAGCTACTTTAGTCCAGGATGCCTTCTGAGATCCTGTCTTTAGCTCACATACATCCCAGCATGGGGGACACCATTAGTACAGACACTGATGGAAGATTAGCATTTTAGTGTGTGTGCACCCACCTGGCTTCTTGAGGCAGTAGTAGTGGAACAAAAAGGATAGTATCCTAGTTGGAGAGAGAGACAGAGTGTGTGTGTGTGTGTGTGTGTGTGTGTGTGTGTGTGTGTGTGTGTGTGTGAGAGAGAGAGAGAGAGAGAAAGGAGAAAGAGAGAGGTGAAAAGGAGAAAGCTGTGGCCTTGCAGATATATATGGCTTATTCATTGGTCTGTAAAGACTATGACTGAGGTTTGGACTCTCTTATTTTGAAGGCATATAATGATCTCAGGCACCATTTTCAGTAAACTCCAAATAGGAATAATTCTCATGACTGCCTTGAACCCTTTGGGGATATAACCTGGGTGTGAACAAATTAAAGGTAAGTAGAGATTTACTATATTTGCTGTTAAATACTTGGGTCCGTCAGTAACACTCTGTGCTTCCCAGCTGTAGCACCATGTTCTGTGTGAACAAGCAAAACTAGAGTGACCACCCAGCACCCAGCATGCCCAGCTATACCCATCTATGTGTGCTCACATGCACATATATGGACACACAGTTTCTTAGCAGAACATGGCTGCCACAGGGGCAGTGTATCTGGGCAAACAGAAAGCCTGGCTCAGCCTGCAGACCTGTGGCATCTCATAGCACTCAGTCCCCAGGGCCACCCTTGCCCCATTACCCTGCGAACTACATGCAGGACACAGCATGGGCCTTCTCCCCCAGATGGCACCTGTTTGGGGTTTTCTTGAGGCTTGTGCTTTCACAGCTCTCTTTGAAGCAGATGTCTTGGTGAACTTTGTAGACTCTTTTATACCTGTTGTCACAAGAAAGCTTTGTAAAACCAGACAATGAGGCAGAATGTTGCCCAACTGCTTAACTATGTGAACCCACAGGTAAACATAAAAGTGTTTGAGGGAAAAGTCTCTATTTTCTTAATAAGACGTTACCTCCTATTGATACATTAAGATGTCTAACATAAAGATCATGTGATTTTTAAAAAATTACTGGAGTATATAGTAATATACAAAAAATATACTCATTTTAGTGTGCATTTTGATGAACACTGACAAAGTCATAGGATATTAAAAGATTAAATGTGAAATTTCAAAGACATGTCTTTGCTAGAGGAAGGCCACTTGGGAAGGTATGACCTCACTTTTATCTGTTTTATTGGTATTTTATACAGAAGTTTTAGAAGTCTTGGGAATGCAGACTTTAGATGTGGGCATTGTGGAAATGATTTCAAGCTCTGCCTCTTTGATTTATTAACCAGGCTATTTCAAGGCAGTCTCTTAAACTTTTAAGCCTCAGTTTTGAGTCAAATGGAAATTATTCATACTGTCTGTCTCACAAGTTTGTAGATAGTAATGAATGGGAAAGTGGTTTGATTCCTGTTAAAGCTCTCAAATGTCAAAGCTGTTTAAAATGGAAATCTGAGGTGTTCAATGGGCAAAACTTCAACTTATATGCTAAGTCTAGTGTATCCTTTAGGATTCAAAACCTGTGGTAAGACTTCTAGCAATGAGGAAGTAATAGGAATAGGATCCAGAATTAATCTCCCAGTGTGAACAACCAGTGAATTGGACATGTACAGGAAGTAACTATTTTCAGATGTTAGAAAACAGACAGCACAAGACTGTGATCCCTGAAAGAAGAAAAACAGATGAAATGAGCTCTGTGATCAACCTGGAATTCAGCCTAGAGCAGTTTGTGAACAGCATTGCAGAGAGCGGGGATCCAAGCAGTGGTCACAATGAATTAAGGAATCAGAGATTGAAGTTGGGAAGGCAGAGCAGCTAGAATTTGCGGGACAGAGTTCTGGAGAAGAGAGAGCTATACAGAGGAAAAGCTCCAGAAATCTGTGTCTCCTTGAGCCTGTGAATAAAGATTAAGCTGTGCATACATAAGATGAAACCCCATGTGGCTGGGCAAAGAAGAGCTATTGAGGAATTGAACAATTCCCATAGCCAGAGTAGAGAGAGTGTATTTAAAGCTGACCATTCCATAGAAACACCAGGAAGGCCATGCCATAGAAGTGGGGCAAAGTTAACCTCAGAATAAAAGCATCTTAAAACAAGCCTCATAGGACAAACTATACTCAAATTACAGCCTTGCAGAAAGAAAATAGTTATTGAAAAGAAAACAAAAAATTCAGCATTCAGTAACATATAATTTATCATGTCTAACATTCAATGAAAATTGTAAGATGTTCAAGAATCATATGAATTAAAAAATGACCCATAACCTGGAGGAAAATAATTGGATAGAAAAAGACTCAAATAAGAGCAATGACAGAAATAACAGACAGGGAGCTTAAAATATCTCTTATAAATTTGCTCCATATGTTCACTGATCTAAGGAAAACATAAACAATGAAGAAAGAAATGGAAGATCTAAGAAAGAACTAAATGGAACTTCTAGAATGATAAAACAGTATCTGAAATGAAAATTTTACTGAATAGGATTAATGGTAGATGCTGCAGAAGAAAAGATCAGTGACCTTGAATGCATAGCAATGGAATCTATCAAAAATGAGCAGAGAGAAAAAAGGTTGAAAATTTTGGGAAGAGTGGCAGTGACCTGTGGGACAATATCAGTCTAACACATGCATAACTGGAGACCTAGAAGGGGAAGAAAGAAATGGAGGGACATTAAAAAAAAAAAAAAAAAAAGAAATAATGGCAGCTGGGTGCGGTGGCTCAACCCTAATCACAGCACTTTGGGAGGCTGAGGTGAGAGGACTGCCTAAGCCCATGGGCTTGAGAGCAGCCTGGGCAACTTGACAAGACCTCATCTCTACAATAAATCAAAAAGTAGCCAGGCGTGGTAGTGCATGCCTGTAGTTCCAGCTGCTTGGAAGGCTGAGGCGGAAGGATCACCTGATCCCAGCAGGTCGACACTGGGGTGGCTGTGAGCACGCCACTGCACTCCAGTCTGGGTATAGAGTGAGACTCCAAGAAGAAAGAAAAAAAGAGAGGGGAAGGGGAAAGGGGAGGGGAGGGGGGTAGGGAGAGAGAGAGGCAAAAATTTTCCAAATTTGACAAAACGAAAATCCCAGAAATACAAAAAGTTTAGCAAAATTCCAGAGAATAAAAACACAGCCATACCAAAGCACATCACAAATTGTTCAAAACCAGCAGGAAAAACAGAAAAGCAGCCACCAGGGGCAGGAGGACACATTACATGCAGTGGAACACAGATAAGAATTCAGCCTTCTCGTCTGAGACTAGCTTATGCAAGCCATCCACAAAGCAATAACAACTTTTAAAATGTGGAAAGAAAAAAACCCACAACTGTCAACCAAGAATTCTATATTCAGCAAATATATCTTTCAAAAACGAAGGTGTAATAAAAACCTTTTCAGACAAAAGCAGAGTGAATTTGTCATCTGCAGACCTGTGCTATAAGAAATTTTACAGTAACTTCTTATGACAAAGGGAAATGATACCAGATGGAACCCTAGATTTACATAAAGGAATAAAAAGTGCTGGAGATGGCAGATGTGTAAGTAAATAGAAGAGACTTTTTACTTTCAACACCTAAAAAAGGAGAATTGTCAGCTGGACTCACACCTGTAATCCCAGCACTTTGGGAGGTGGAGGCGAGAGGATTGCCTGAGATCCACAGGTTTGAGACTAACCTAGGTAACATGGCGAGACTTCATTTCTACAATAAATAAAAAATTGGCCAGATGTGATGGTGCATGCCTGTAGTTCCAGCTACTTGAAAGGCTGAGGCGGAAGGATCACCTGAACCCAACAGGTTGAGGCTGCAGTGGCCATAAGCATGCCACTGCACCCCAGCCTGGGTGATAAAGTGAGATTTCTACTGAAGGAAAAAAAAGGGCGGGGAGAGAGGGAATTGTCTGTTGGAGTAAAAGCAATGTTGTACATTTCATAGCATATGTGGAAGTAAAAAGTCTGACAACGATAATTCAAAGGATGGGAGGGGGAAAGTGGAAGCATGATGTTGTAAGAGGCTGCCATTATACTGAAGTTATATAATAATAATTAAATTTATATTGTGATAACTTGAAGATATATATGGTAAATCCTAGAGCACCACTAGAATATACACCAAAGAAGTATAACCAATAAGCCAATGATAGAGGTAAAATGGAATCCTAAAAAATAATTAATGCAAAATTAGTCAGGAAAAGAGAAAAAGTAACAAAAAGATGGTAAAAATAGAAAACAAATAGTAATATGGTAGATTTAAATCCAACCACATCAACCATTATGTTAAATGTAATGTAAATGGTTTAAACATTCCAATAACAGAGACTGTCAAACTGGATATAAAGCAAGACCCAACTATATATTAAATACAAGAAAATCACCTTAAATATGTAGATAGAGTAAAAGGGAAAGGATAGAACCCCTTTGGTAAGTGAAGGGGCTCCTTGTTAGATACTTGGTGGGGCATCTAATACACATGTGCCTGGTAGTCACCAGCTGGTATTGGTATAACTAGCACAGCTTAAGGTGGTGAATACTGTGGAAATGGACTGCCATGGCACAGCATCAAAATTTAATGGTCTGTGAAGGCAGCTTCTCAAGTCCCAATACAGATCAGTATCTCATGTGTGTTCCTGCTATGCCTGGCTTCATGTCCAGGCTCCCAATACAGCTTTCTATCCTTCAGTCTCCACAGAACATCCAGAGTGGTCTTTAAAAATGTAATCAGGGCAATCCCCTTGGGTCCCCTCCCACTGTAGGAGCTTTTCTGTCCTCTCAATAAATCCTGCTTTCTCAAAAAAAAAAAAAGAAAAAAGTCACACCTCTATTCAGAACTCTTCAGTAGCTCCCCATTTCTTGGTGGACAAGCTCCAGAGTCCTTCTAAGGCTCTCCAAGGCCCCGAGGGACTCCCTGTCCCTTAACCCTCCTGCCACTTTCCACCTGATTCACTCAGCTCCAGCCCTGCTGGCCTCTTTGCTGTTCCCCAGACATACCAGACACACTACCGACTCAGGGCTTTGGTAACTGATCCTCTGACTGTCTGTAATGTTCTTCCCTCAATGAACCTCACCTCCTCCATATCTGTTCAGTGTTACCCTTTCTGTGAGGCTTACTCTGGCCACTTTGTCTGTTGCTGTGCCAGCCTCTCCTACTCATCTGGCCCTCCTAGTCTCACCTAGTCACGTCTTCCTTTTTTTCTTTGCACTTACCACCTGATAAACATGACATAACACACTTAACGCTTTCTGTTTATTGTCTATCCTTTCACCTAGGATGTAAGGATCCTAAGGGCAGGACTTTGGTCTGTTCTCTTCAGAGATGTGTGCTGAGTATCTACAACAGTGCCTGGCACACCGTAAGTGCTCAGTAAGTTATTTGTTGACTAAATTGATTGTAAATGTGACCTACAGAGTTACAGAATGTTACCAAGAAAAGTTCTAAGAGATGAGCTAGGCAACTCTCCCTTCAAAGTCTGATTTACAGATGGGGATCCTGAAGCGTGAGTGATTTGTCCAGGACCACATCATGAGTTAATGGCAGAACTGGGAATGAAGTTCTCACATACTGTGTGCTTTTCCAAGGGGCTCTAAGAGAACAGAAGAGAGGAAGGTCATGTCCAGGTGGCCCTGCCATCCATTGGGGGCAGGGCTGATATTGCTCCAGGGTGTGGGAAAGGAAGACCTGAGGGCTTGGGATTCTAGGGGCCTGGGTCCTTCTTAGCCGCTGCTCCTGAGCTGAGCCATGGACTTAGGCAAGTTATTCAGTATTTCTGTCTTAGTTGCCTAATTCGTCACATGGAGGGAACTGGTGGTCAAAGCAAGTCCTTTCTGTGACTGTGACCACCATCCCTCTTCAGGGTTAGGTGGGTGACTTTGAGAAAGCACTTTGAAGAGTCAAGAACACTCTGACAGTGTGGTAAGGCTGAGGACAGAAACCAACTTACACGTGGTGACAGATGCCTCCTTCCCAGACGGGAAAGGACTTTGTCTCCGAGACCAGCCGAGTGCAGGGGCGGGGCACCTTTTTACAGGCTGTGGCACAAAGCAGATGGGTGGTGGCTTACAAGGAGGTTCGATGTTGAGGGCATTCTCTTCCTGCCCCCTCATGAGAGACCCCAGCCTGAGGGGGACCCCAACTGCTTGTTTGGGTTTGGGGTTCCTTAAGGCTAGAGTGGCCTCAGAATTGTAGAATGGGCAGGGGAGAGCTTCCGTCTGCCCCTCTTTGGTGCTCAGGCCCAAAGTGGTGTTCTTAAGGAGACTGTGTTCCTTCTCCCACCATCACCCAGGCCTCTGAGTCAGAGATAGCCCCTGCACCCACGCCTTGTTGTGCTGTGGCTGTGCTCAGATCCCTCATGCTCGGGAAGCACCCTTCCTCCTGGGGCTTTGGGCGGCAGCGCAGCCCCCAGGGCTCACATCAGCTCTGAGGCTCCTGCCCACCAGCCTCCCAGCTTGGGCATTCGGAAGTCTCGGGCTCCTGTCCTGGCACCTTATTTGGAGGTCAAAGTGGAAAACCCACCTGTGGCCCAACAGTCTTAGGCTGAGCCACAAGCTCTTGTAACAGGTGCCTTGAAATCAGGCCTCAACTGGGGTGGTAAGCCCTGACTTACCGAGCTCGCAGCGTCTGCCTTTGAAACCTGGCCCACAGTCACAGCTGTGGGTGTCAGCATCCAGTACACAGGTGCCTCCGTTCTGACAGGGGTTTTCCGAACAGTTCTTGGGGGCGTCTGAAAACAGATCTTGAGAGGTTAGTCACTGGGACCCCAGGGGCAGGCCCGCTTCATGGACATGTTGCTGTCTCTTCCTTGATAACCTGACCCAGGATGCAGGGTGGCCAAGCACTCCTCAGTGACATGCTGTAGTAGGCTCCCAAATGCCTCTGAGTTCTAGAGGGTGGCCCCCGTACAGGTGTTTAGAGAGAGTAGAGGTGAGAAGACAGGTCTCAGTGTGCTTGGCCTTGACCTCATTACTGGAAGGAAGGAAGGAAATAAGGAAGGGAGGGAAAAAGGAAGAGGGCTGGGAAAAAGGAAGAGGGCTGGGAAATAGGGAGAGGGGAAGGAGGGAGAGAAGAAGAAAGGGCAGAGGAAGGATCAAGCTGGGCCTTCAATGCTGAGCCTCCATTGGTCTACCATCCCCTCCCTGCTCCCACTTTTTCTTGAGTTTGCCCTTGCAGAGCGTTTCTTCTGGTTGGAACCTGAGGCCCCTCCTGTCATCCAGTGGAGAAGGGCCTCTTCTCCACTGTCCAGCCCCAGGCAGCCCTCTGTGCAGAGCTGCTGCCTGTTTTCAGGACTGCTGTTTGCTTCATCTCCCTGGCCTCACTTTGGCCACGAGAGGTGGTTGGTCAGCATTGCCACCAGGGAGAAGCCTGCTTGCCTTCTCCCTTAGGGTTCACTCTTGCCCTTTTTTGTTTTTTTAACGTTGGCAAGGTACCTGTTATTTTGATTTTTAACTTAAAACCCATTAAAAAACACAAAAGAAAAAATATCTAAGCCTTGCTCTAACAATACAAAAAAAGAAGAAAGCAAAAGAAAAAAACACAAAAGAGCAAGAATTGTGCCCACCCCGCCATGTCTAATACTGAGGAAGGCCCAGTCTCCCCCACACCATCCAATCCAACACCCGCTCCCTGTCTGATGCCCCTCCTCATCTTACTCTTCACAGAGTCTTCCCTGTATGCTGTCCCTTAAGTGCATTGGGCCCTGGCAGACCTCAGTGTCCCTGCCACTGTCCCTCCTTCCTCACTGATCTATTTTACCTTTTCTCCTTTCGCCCCTCTTGTCCCCTGGGACTTTCCTTATCTTTTTGTTTTTCCTGATGTACTTAAAATGAGCTGTGACTTTTAAAAAACCATTTGTTGCAAAAAGTTTCAAACCTACAAGATGTAGAGTCCTAAGAGCCCTGTGCACTCAGTTTCAACAACAATCAGAATTTGTCAATCGTTTCTTTTTTTTTTTTTCTGTCACCCTCTTTTACTCTTGATGAAGAATTTCAAAGCAGTTCACAGTATTTCACCTATAAACATGTCAGCAGGTATCTAATACTTTACATAACCACAATGCTATTATTACAGATTAGCTGTAGTCTCTCAATATCATAAGAAATCCCAGGTCATGTTCGAATTTCCCTGATCATCTTAAAAATGTCATTTACAACTGATCTAATCTAATTAGGGCTCATAAGCGTCTACATATTGCCTTTGTGATATATCTCATCTCTTTATTTATTTGTTTTCTTGAGTCGGGGTTTCACTCTGTCACCCCAGCTGGAGTGCAGGGGCATGATCGCAGCTCACTGCAGCCTTGACCTCCTGGGTTCAGGCAGTCTTTTTGTATCAGCTTCCCACATAGCTAGGAATACAGGTATGTGCCACCATGGCCAGCTAATTTTTTTTTTTTTTTGTAGAGACGAGGTCTCACTATGTTACCCAGGCTGGTCTTGCACTCCTAGGGCTCCAGTGATCCTCTCATCTTGGCATCCCAAAGTGCTGGGATTACAGGCGTGAACCACCAACCCTGTATGTGTCTTGTTTTTTTTCAATCTCCCTCTTTATTTATTGAAAAAAACAAGTTCATTTGTCCTATAGAGTTCCTTTCCTGGATTTGAATTACAGCTTACTTGTGTCATTAACTTGTTCCCCACCCCCATGTTTCCTGTAAACTCCCTCTCATTGGAGAGAGGAGCTTAATAGGATTCAGGTTCAGATGGCCTTTGCAGGGCTGCTTCATGGGGATGCTCATACATCTTACAGCTACACCAGGAGGTGTGTGATGTGTCCGAGTCACACTTGAGTGACATGAGGACTGACTGCTGGTTCAGCATTAGTAGCTTGATTAATCTAGAATAAAGCACCATGGGCCTTGCACCTGATAGCTTGAGCAGCCATTGAGATCCCTGACCTGAGATTCATCTACTCGCAGGACTGTGTCTGACCCTGTCTGACACTGCTCCCTTCACCAGCTGGAGAGTGGCCTGTGAAGAGACTCTCCCTCATCCACCTCATGGTCACCCTGAGCCTTAGTTCATACAGGCAAGGTAGGAAAATTGTTCAATCCTATTCCTTTATTTGTATGCCTGTAGACAGAGTCCGTCTCCTAGCAAGCTCTAAAGTTGACCAACTTGTTTTTTATTTTTAAACATAATGATGAATGCATAGATTTTTATATATTTGATGGTTTCAGTCCATTGCTGTAATTCATTTTCATGAGGCTTGAGTTACTCCATCTTTGGCCAGCGAGAGACCTTCAGGTTGGCTCCATGCCCTCAGGACACAGTCCCTGTTGTTTTGAAAGATTGCTTGTTTTTTTGCACAATATGCCCGGGGCTTATTGGAATCAGCCATTTCTCCAAAGATCTCTGGTTCCCTTGGTGAGAATGAGATCCAGAGCCCACAGTCTGGATGCTCATGGTGCTCACTGTTACCGCGTGTCACTGCTTCAGGCTTTTTCAGTGAATAGAACTAGGAAATTAGATGTTTAAAAAATAAAAATAAACCAATTATGAGTTTGTACCACTATTTCCAGTTCAAATTAACAGAATTAAATAAAAAAACAAACAAGACAATGTCTGTGATTTTATATTTTTATTTCTTTACACTAAAAATCTTGGTGGCATTAGCATAATTATTTTCTTCATCCTACTATATACATGTATTAGTTTTAAAACAGTAATACCAGTATTACTGCTAACATTAAGGTCACTGAGTGTAACTTAAAATTTCTTGGCAATGCTTTATCCTTAGAGTATATCCCACTAGGGGTAAATAGTCAGGCTGCTGTTATTAAAATCACTTGAAGTGATACTTTTTTCTTGTGTGGTTATGCCATCAACATGATAAATAGGTTTATTTATTTCAATTTGTTTTCAAGTTTTAGGTGTTGCCTTTTTTTGTTGTTTGTAAAAACATTTTTTGGTTCTAAAGTCAAAACTATAAAATGAGGTACTTTCAGAGAAGTCTAGCCTCTATCTCCATTCCCTTTACGCTGTTCTTTCCTTTTCCATTTAGTTAACCATTTTACTAGTTTTATTTCTTTTTAAATATATGATAAAAATTCGTATGTCATTTCTCCATTTTCCTACACAAGAGAAAACATACTGAACACACTGTTCTGCACACTACTTTTAAAAACTAGCTTTATTGAAATATAATTCATGACATAAAATTAGCCCAATTAACATATACAGTTTATTGGTTTTAAGCATATTCACAGATATGTGCAGCCATAGCCACAATTTTGGAACATTTTCCTCTATTACCTCAGAAAGAAACCTCATACCCTTTAGCTGTCGATCCCATCCCTCCAGCCCATCCACCCCCCCAGTCCTAAGCAACCACTAATGTACTTTCTGTCACTACAGATTTCCCTATTCTAGATTTTCATATGAATGGGATCATATTGCACATAGTCCTTTGTGTCTTGCTCCTTTCACTTAGTATAGTTTTTTCAAGTTTCACTCATGTTGTAGCATGTAGAAGAACTTCATTATTTCAATGGTTGAGTAATTTTCTAAAACATGATATACCATATTTTGTTTATCCTTTTATCAGTTGATCTACATTTTGTCTGTATCTATTTTTTGGCTATTATGTTTTGCTGCTATGAATATTTGTGTAGAGGACCTTATGTGGACACATTCTCATTTCTCTTGGGCATATGCCTAGAAGTAAATTATGCTGGATCATATGGCAACTTTTGGTTTAATCCTCTGAAGAACTGCCAGGCTGTTTTTTCCACCCCCAAAGCAGCTGTGACACTTACATTCTCACCAGCAATGTATGAGAGTTCTGATTTCTCCACATCCTCACCAATGTTAATTATTATCTTTTTGATTCCAGCCATCCTTCAGGGGTGTGAAGTAGAATCTCATTGTGGTTTTGATTTGCATTTCCCTGATGACTGATGATGTCAAGCTGCTTTTCATGTGCTTATTGGCCATTTGTATATCTTGGAGAAATGCCTATTTAGGTCTTTTGTCCACTAAATGTTTTAAATTATTCAGTTATAAGAGTTTTTAAAATATACAAGTTTTTAGATACAAGTCCCTTATCGGATACATGGTTTGTAAATATTTCTTCCCATTCTGTGAGTTGTCTTTTCACTTCCTTGATGGTGTCCTTTGAAACATAAAAATTGCAATTTTGATGAAGAGCAGGTGATCTTCTTTTTTCTTTTATTGCTCTTACTTTTGTTGTTATAGCTAAGGAATCTCTGCCAAATCCAAGGTCATGAAGGTGTACTCCTGTGTTTTCTTCTAAGAATTTTGATTTTAGCTCCTAACATTTAAGCCTTTGGTCAATTTGTGTTAATTTTTATATGAGGTAGTGTGTCCAACTTCATTCTTTTGCATGTGGACATCCAGTTGTCACAGCACCATATTTTGAGAAGACTATTATTTTCCCCACTGAATAGTATTGCCCAACCTTGTTGAAACCAGTTGATGTATGGGTTTGTTTCCAGACTCTCAATTCTATTCCACCGATCTAAATGCTTATCCGTTAGCCAGTACCACATTGAATTTATTACCCTTGCTTTGGAGTAAGTTTTGAAATCAGAAAGTGTGAGTTGAGTCCTCCTACTTTATTCCTCTTTTTCAGAATTGTATTTGCTATTCTGGGTCCCTTGCAGTTTCATATAAATTTTAGAAACTGTGCCAGAGACATTTTACAGCAACCTGACAGAATATGGCTGTGTACAGGAACATTTAGAATCCATGAGCTAATATCATTTGT